TTTACAATGACCAAAATACCCCTCCCAACAACTAAAAAATGGCTAGTTTTTAGGGTATTTTGGGCAGTTGAATTATTTTCAATTCCTATAAATAGCCCTATCATCCACCATTCTCATCACACCAATTCAACAATTCCTATAAATAGCCATATCCCCCACCATTTTCAATTCCTACAATGATCAAAGTCAAGAACAATAGGAGAAAATGAAGTCAATATTTTTTGTATACTCAATAGTTGTATAGCATTTTTTCAAATTATTGTAAATTTTGTTTTAATTTTATTTAATTTATTTGATATCTTTTAATTACGTAATTTTTATTTTCAATTTGTAACTATTATTGTATTTTTTATATTTTATTAATTTATTCCATTTTCCAATTTTCATATTTCATTCATCCAACCATTGTATGCTTTGTATCATTCAAATTTAAATGAAATAAAATTCCTATTTTTCTTCTAATTTGTCATTCACTTTGAGTCTTTGTCTCTTTGACTTCTTATTTGGTTAAGTATTTTTTTCATTTCTTTGTTAGATTTCTTATTTTTTCAAATAGTTCCCAAAGGAAAGTTAAGTATTTTAGTTGTCTCTTCGGAGACATCCGATAAAATTGGAATGATACAGAGAAGATTAGCATGGCCCTTGCGCAAGGATGACATGTACAAATCGAGAAAAGTTAAATATTTTAGTTTTACTTAGCAAAGAAATAAAAAAATAAAAAATGTCAAAAAAACAAAAAAAACCAGTCTAGCCCAGTTCAGCCCAACCTATGGCCCAGGCCCATGGCACGACCTGTAGCCTTCTCGGCCCAGGCTCGTGGCATGGCATGGGTGCACACAAGCTTGGGTTGCGGGCTGTGTTGGGCCGACCCCCCAAATTATCCCCAGGGAGGGCGGCACAGCCCAGGATGGCCCGCAGGCCGGCTTGGCATGGCCTGCACTTTGTGCGGGCCACAGGCATCGGCACGGCTCGTTTTACACCTCTACTTAAAATCAGGCCCCATGCCTGTTGGAATTTKCCCATGAAATAACTACTTTTGAATCCCCTTCTACCCCAACCAACCTATAGCCCGATTGTTTGGCTAATCTGAGGCCTTCCAATAGACCCATCAGTTCAGCATTCAAGGAGTTTCCCATACCATTCAGTCCTGAAAGTAATGCCAAAGGGGTGATGTTGCCCAAAATAATTGCACACCATTAATCCCTTGTTTGGCTAAACTATCGGCCAAACCATTTCCTCATCTTCCAACAAGCTGACCCCATTTTCCCTTGATAAACATCTCACCTCCTTCATGGCTTTTCTATGGGTCCAAATCGCCAAATTGTTTCTTTACATCCATTCAACCACCAGTTTGGAGTCCCATTCCAGAACTCCATAAAGGCAAATATTATGCTGACAAGAAATAGAGGAAAAGGCTGATTATGGAATGCAAATGGATTAAGCATGGGGACAAGGTTGGAAAACAGGGAAGTTATTTGAACCAATGCAGCCTCTTACACAAGCGAGATCCATGAGAAGGTCTGCAATCTTCTTGAACAAGATAGTAAGAAACCATGGCTTACAAGTGACATGGATTGAAGAAAAATATAGTGATATGAGAAGCACCAGGGACAGAGGAAGATGCAAAGAAAAATAAAAAAAGAAAACTGAGGGGAGCTAGTGAAAGGTTGAAAAGGGGATGATTTGAGCGTTTTTTTATAGGTAAAAATGAAATTTGTTGATAAGTGTGTGTCTTCCTTATGTAACTTCTTTGGTGAATTAATGAAATTGTTATTGATAAAAAAAAAGAAATTTGTTGATTAATGAATGCTACATGTAGTACCGGGCATATGCATGTCTTTGGTTAATCTAGCTTACCTAACCCCACATTATATTTATATGCCATAGTAGTTTGTTACCCTCCGGTACAACTGATCCCTATTTACCCCTTCTCTTATGAGTCAGTTAACCTGTTGGATGATATTTGAATCCAATTCCAGGCCACTACGACATCCCTAGCAAGTTGCTTGGTTTCCCTCGTAGTGTTCCTTTATTGCCATGTTCCACCACTGTCATACATTAGCCACTCACTACTGTTTTTGAATCCCCTTCAATCATTATGTTTTGCGTTTTCAGCCTCTTTCCAATCTTCAATCCTTACAGGACAGCATGTAATTCCACCCTTGTAGAGTCCCCCACATATAAGGCCTAAGTAAATAGCAACAATGAAGCCTCAACCATCTCTGAAGCTTCCTCCTATTCTCTACAGGCCTGGATTTTGAAGCCTATACCCATTAGAGTTGAGCATTACCCAATTCAATGCAGGAGGATGCCACTCGAGATACTAATTCTTGCAGTTGAAGAATTTTCTATATACCACCATACTGTTAATATTATCATTGTTACACAAAGGATCAAAAATCTATAGGGTCTGTTCACCACTTTTGGTTTTTTACTAGTAAAATCTCAATGATTGCCTCCTAGGGTCTTCTCAGATTTCTCTCCTCCCAAAGCATCTACAAGATGGTGATAGATTTTGTGCATCTCAACATAATTTTATCCCTTTTTTTATGATTGGAAAATGAAGTCTTAAAGAGACCATGTATTGGGTGCCCACCTGCAACCAAAAAAAAAGAACTTAGCGGTGATGACAAGCAAAGCAAGTACTAGGTTTCCTTTGCAATGTTTCACCAGAGTTAATCTTCAAGTGGTAAGCTTTGCCTAATTTTGTGAGGAGTAGACCCCAATAAAATGGAGAAATAGTCCAAATATGAGAATCAGGAATCAAAGTATCAAAGAAGATCCCTTCCAAAGAAGATAGCATGCTTAAGCACTAGGTGACACTCCAAATCCCTTAAACCTCCCCTTAAGCCCAAATTCCAAGAAACTTCATAAATCGAGTGAGAAACCAGCATGAAGATGGGCAGAGATCCTTCAAAGGGGGGTGGTCTTCTCAAAACCCCACCTTCTTACCTATGGAAGCTGGAAGAATCATAAATGAATTGAAGGAAACTAGGAAGTAGGAAGATAGCTTTCCAAGGAGAGGCATAAGCCACTCTAATAGCTAATTTTGTACTCCATTTGTACGTGTCCCTCCCATGAATGCTACCAATTAGATTATGCCACAGATAATCAGCGTCTAAGAGGAACCGCCAAAACCAATTACAGTAGGGGTGAGCATTGTTTGGTTAAAACCAAAAAACCAAACAAAAAATTTTGGTTTCAGTTTTTTTGGTTCAATTAGTTCGGTTTTTAGTTAATTTGGTTTTATAAAATTTCAGTTTTCGGTTTCGGGTTCTGGATTAGGAAATTTGGTTAACTGTAAAAAACTGAATTAGCTGAACTTTGTTATTTATAATATGTGCATATATTTATATATGTTAATATTACATGTTACATATCATATAGAATATCTATACTATATTATAATATATTATTTCATATGTTAGAACATAAGATATTATATATATATGTATATATATTATAATTTATATAATAATATATTAATGTACATTAATATATTAAATAAATTCGGTTTTAACCAAAAAAACCGAAAATGAACTGAAAATTTCGGTTTCAGTTCAGTTTTACATTTCAAATTTTGGTTTTAAAAAATTTGGTTTATTCGGTTTGGTTTTTAACCGAATAAACTGATTGCTCACCCCTACCAACCAGAGCTGATTTTTTGTTTTTTACAGTAAGCTGAACTGTTTTTTTTTGAGTAAGCAGAGCTGCTTTTTTTTTTTTTTAAGTAAGCAGAGCTGTACTTTTAAAAGCCAAAATTCCAATTTCSAAAGTCCTAACCCATCATCCCTCTATTGTTCTAGAGTAGAGCTTGATTAACATGGGGATGAGGTTCTTTTGTTGATAGAAAATTGGTTCTGAAGAGCCTTCTTGGTCCTGTACAATGCAGATGGATGTGTCTTGCAGTTCTACTTTGTTGGTGGATGCGATTAGACATTGGAGATCTCGGGGGTTTTCATTTTATATAGGAACTTTTTCATAGGATGTTTTGCTTGTTTGATCTGCTGGGTAGCCCTTTCAGTTTGTCACGTGCTTGTGGGCTTTTTAACCCCTTTGCTATTGTCTAGAATCTCTAGATCATTGGCACTCCACTTGTATATCTTTTCTTTTTTAAATGCAGACTCTTAGCTAGTCATTCTGTCAATGGGTTCTGCAATCAATTATTTAGACAGGAGACCTTGTCGTGACAGGAAAATGAAACCTGGATTAGTGGCAATGTGTGCTTGAATTGAACATTGGATTCAGCTTAATAAGGAGCTTTTGGTATTTGATGATGCGGGGTATTCTCCATCCCTTCTTATCCCCACTCTCCAGCATTTTAGTTAGGGATTCAAGAAGAGAAAAGACTGAGAAAAACCAGAACCTCCCATGTGGGCTTACCAACTGTCCTACAGGAGCTTCTAAATTAATGCAAAAATGCTAAATGGCCAATGTTAGATGCACACCCATGGACGCATGAACTTGGTGGGATTGGAATAAGATGCTGAGTTTTCTAGAATTTTACTCTTTCATAAAAATCTGTTGCTTTTGAATTGCATTTCTATGGTTGGTTGAGTAGGGAGTGTTTCTTGTATCCATTAAAATTACATACAAATTATCTGTTAGCACAATGACGGGTATTGGCGTGATCTTGAGCAGAGTGTTTCAATTTTGAATTTTGTACCTTTCTCTCTTCTATTAAGGTCTGGGGTCGGTGCTCTCTCTTCTCTGTAAGAAGCCTAGCAGAACCTGGCACAGAGAGAGATGCATCTGGGTTGAACTTAGAAGCACTTGAAAGGTATGGTTTTTAAAATATTATGATCACATAACGTCACATGCTAATGTTTTATCAATAGAGGGTACAATTAAGTACAATTGGGCCCAGYCCACAAGGAAAACTTAAGTCCATTTTAAAAACTCAAGGTATATTTAAGTCAACTTGTGAAACCCTATGGTATGTTTAAGTGTGTTATTGATTCTTCATGTGTGTACCTATACTGATACGTAGCTGTTTACAGTTTTCACTGCCTTTACCTCAAGGTGGAAGAGATGCAATCACCAAAAACCTCATTTTACGTGAAGATCAGTTACCACATAAAGTCCTGTACCCCAAGATAAAGAAAAAATCAAATAAACAGGTTGAGTTTCTCTTGATGAGTACCACAGTTTCTTCTATATATATTTTTTTCATTCATATTGGTTTTACATGATTTTTCTGTTTATGTGGCATGTCATTAATATTACATCATAACATAGGTTGGTTTACTTTACTGTAGGGAGAGGACATTTTAACTTCTGACAATATCTTTGGCCCTGTTTCTGGCAAGAAAGCTCCTTTGAAACCTCCAATCAGACAAGCATTAGCAGTTTTCAGTGGAAAGAGGAATCCTAATGATAATCATTATTCTCGTTCTAAGCGCTAGTTGCATTAGGCAGCTCAAATGGTGGCTTCATCGCCTTTGTTTTCATTTCTTTAGTATTAATATTCAGAATGAGCATAGAAAATGTACATCACACAGGATCTACTGGGTTTATGACCAAATCTGCCCCTTTCCTTTTTTATTTTTTTTACAACTTTTATTTTGAATGGAAAGATGGGCATGGGTCTGGAGCCTTCTCGGACATGTCTATGGTTTTATTCTAGCTTCTGTTACTGCACTTTCCCTTTGGCTCAGTTTGTTTGCCGTGCTAGTTTCATCTTCAATGGTGTAAATACATGATTGCAAATAGGTTGGGTTGAGGTCAACCCTTATCCAACCCTAAGTTCTAAACCCCCAACCCTAACCCTAACTAAATTCCTTCAACCGTAACCCAACCCAACCTTCTTCCCATCCCTTAAAATCTCATAGAATTTTTCGATTTTATATCTGAACTCAACTTTCAGTACATATATTAATCCTATGTTTCATTAGTACTTGTTTGTTGACGCTTTTTTTTTTTTTGTTCTTTGGGTACAAATTTCAGAAAAGCAAGTGTTATGACTTACGATAGATCTTTTTTGGGCGGCAAACACAGAGGAGATGAATAAAATTTTCAAAAAAATATAAATTAATGTTATTAAGGTTTAGTCAAGGTTCAAAATATCGATACGCCCGATACGCTAGTATGGGCGTATTGGGCAAATCAATATAGTGTTTCAAGCCTTTTTTTATTTATTTTTTTGCAACTAGTTCAAGGGGGCCGGTTTAGGTCTCCTCTACCCCTTGAATTGGTCAGACCTTCGATACACCCACTGTAGGGGCATATCGAAGGAGTCCCGGAACGATACATATCAGTCGATATGGGTCGATACGTGTCGATACTTTGAACCTTGGGTTTAGTCTTTTTTATTAGGATTAAGTGAAGGTGATTACTTTAAAAGAAATACATGATACTATGTGGTGGGGGCTATACAAATATCATGCATCTAAACAAATCAATATATGTTATATATTACATATAACATATATTTATATATGGCATGCACTATAGAGTCGGGAAGTTGGGTTCATGAATTTCAACCCTAACCCTAACCCGAACATCAATACRACCCAACCCAACCCAACCCAACATTTTCGGGTTGGATTCGGGCCAACTCGGCCCAAGTTGCAGCCTTAATAAAAATGAAGTAATCTCCACTTTATATATTATACGAAGCCAGTTGATGTGTTCTCTCATCTCTGGTTTACATGAGAAAGAATTGAGGTAGGAAGGTGGTGCGAATTTTGCATTAGGCTCAGTTTGGAAGCAGTACAAATGCAAATATGTACAGCATAAATACATACAAAATATAAGGTTTTGCACTCTACATTTTTGCATTTGCACTCCTTTCAAACTCGGCCTTAGTTTTTGAAATACAAAATTTGTGCTGCCTAAAGTGCAAATGAGACAATGTACAAATTTTATATTAGGTAGGAGTGCAAATCATAATTACAATTTACAAAGAATAGGTGTAAAACTGAACCAGGTGGTATTTCCAAAAACAAAACTGAACCAGGTGCATGTTTTGTTTCCGATTAAACAGAGCCCTTGGTACAAAGGATAACAGAACACTAAACAAAATGGGGGGTAGTGCAGCACTGCAGCCCCAACAATTCTCCTAGAATTCTTTCTAGTCCAGTCTCAGATCAGGTGATCCTCAAATATACCTCTTCTACATGTCCCAACTCCCAAGTTTGCTAAATAATCTGCTACTTTGTTTGCCTCTTCTACATGTCCCAACAATTCAGTCTTGCTCTTCTCCATCTTATTTCAAATGTCATTGATGATGGTCCAACCATCATTAATGATCATATAATGGATGGTTCACTCTTCACTGCTCTCCTTGGGGTTTTATTATCGTATATACTGATTGTCTAACCTGATCTGTAGATAGAGTTCGTATGAGATTCTGATGGTTCAACCACCTAGGATTGGGATATATGAAGAAATCTCCTACAAAAGAGTTAAAAGCAATAGATCCAAGCATAACTCAAATCCGGTGGCCCAGAGGCCCTAAACTCTGAGACTCTGAATTCACATTGCGATTCTGTTTGTCCCATTTAATTTCTGAACTTTCTTTATGATCTATTCCTGTCCTGTCAACTGTAAAGGGTCCTCTCTAAAGACGTTAAAGATGTTACTAATTTTTAATTCTAAAGGACGAAAGAAAGAAGAAAAGATGAACTTTTATTCCCTTAACTTTTAAGCAACCTTGGCTCAGAATACTTAGAACAAGTTAGAAAGATGCATGGTCCCTTGCCATCCACATCCAGACCCACATTCTGGAGAGAAGTTCAGACAAAAGGAAGAAAAAGAGAAGAAAATTAAAAAAAGCATTGATTACCGTTAGAATGTTAGAATACTACGGTTTGTTATAACTAACCGACAACTATAATCAGCCACGTGGGCTAAGTCGGTGACTCGTCACCGCTATATATATAAACTGAATATATGAGTAAGAAGTTCTTGCTCTGTTTTTCTGTCTCGGTACCATTCTTACATGTTATCAGAGCTGCGATCCGTGTCTCTTTGCTTCCTCTGCGTTTCTCGTTTCTCGTTTCTCGTTTCTCTTCTGCAAATTTTGATTTGTTCCGAGTTCGGTGGACCTTGATCAAGCTGTGCTTCCTCTGCCCAGCGATTCTTGATCCAACCGTTCACTGACATTTCTCGTTTCCTCTCTGCAAATCTTGATCAGGCTGCAACTCCTGGCTCAACCGTGATCGGTGCTTGCTCAACGGTTCTTGATCCAGCTGTGCTCCCTCTACTCAACATTTCTTGATCTGGTCGTCTCCCTGCAACTCGTGACTCAGCCACGATCGTGCTTTCTTGATTGAGCTATTTCTCTGCAACTGTTCTTTCCATTTTCATGGAGACTGAACACAACTCTCCTTATTTTCTTTCTTCTTCGGACAGTCCAGGAATGATGCTTGTGTCCTGTCTTCTCACCGGCGACAATTATCCCATGCGGCAAAGAGCAATAATCAGTGCTCTAAAAGCAAAGAACAAATTAGTCTTTGTTGATGGATCTATGCCAAAACCGGCAGCTGGTACTCCAGAATTCAGTGCTTGGACCAAATGCAATGTGATGGTCATTGCGTGGATCTTCAACTCCTTAGCAAATGAAGTCTACAACAGCGTAGCATTCGTTGATACAGCAACAGAAATCTGGAAAGAGCTCCAATGTCGTTTTTCACAAGGTAACATCCCTCGGATATATGAATTGAAACAAGACTTGGCACTGCTACGTCAAGACGACCTCACTGTCAGTGCATACTTTACAAAACTTAAAACACTTTGGGACAAACTAAATTCTCTCGTGGTGTACCCTAAATGCACTTGTGGAGCTGCCAAGATTTTCTCGATGGAGCGTGACAGAGACAGCTTCATCAATTTTTAATGGGTCTCAACGAATCGTTTAATACGGTTCGATCAAACATTCTTGGATTTGAGCCTTTGCCTACCTTAAACAAGGCCTATGCCCTCATAATACAAGAGGAGCGTCACCAACAGATGATGGTTCCCACTCTTTGCAGCATGAAGCTGAGCACTCACAGCAAAGGACAAAGGTACTGGGATGTCACGACCAAAACTCCGGTATGACCATTGCAAAAAGAACGGCCACACCAAGGATTGATGTTATGCTCTCTTTGGATATCCCCAAACTGGAAACGGCGTCGAAATGACAAAACGCCAACTGATGATTCTGCTAAAAACACCCGAACTGCTGCTCTCACAGTTACAAATAATACAAACCAACCAAATACATTAATGAATCAGAACTCACCGGTGGTTGGCCTAACTTTGAACCAATACACTCAATTGATCTCTCTCCTGAATAGAGAATCAACTGGCTTTGCAGCCTCAGTCTCAGCTGGTAAGAACACTGCTCCTGCCATTGAATGGATTATTGACAGTGGTGCTTCGGACCACATGGTGTCAAACGACACCTGGTTTGATGCCTCTGTTACTGTCACACCCACAAGCATCCGTCTTCTAGATGGATCACTGACCTGCACAAATTTGCGTGGATCCATCACCATTGGGTCACATATCCTTTAAGATGTTATGCATGTTCCCACATTTCATTGCAATCTTTCGTTGGTAAGCAAGATCACACAACAGCTAAATTGTACTGCCATTTTTTTCCACATTATTGTATTCTTCRGGACCCACTCTCCAAGACTGTGATTGGGACGGGTGAGCTCTGCAATGGGTTATACAATTTCAGATTCCATCACTCCACCATTATTGGTCATTCAATTAGGGCTCATCAGCCCACCACTGTTAGTTCTTCAATTTGGCATATGCGTTTGGGGAATGCCTCTCGATCTCGTTTAGCTCTCATTCATGGGATCTCCATTTCTGATCTGACACCATGTTGTGATACATGCCATCGGGCCAAACAAGCTTGTTTGCCATTCCCGATCAGCAACACTCACAGCAAAGAACCATTTTCTTTGGTATATTGTGATATATGGGGAGGTTACAAAACCCCCTCTCATTGTGGTGCTAGATATTTTCTTACCTTGGTAGATGATAACACAAGATGTACTTGGGTATACCTATTAAAGCACAAGTCAGAGGCTGGTCAGTACTTGATTTCTTTTTGTGCAATGGTCACTAGAGAGTTTAATGCTTCTGTTAAACAAATTCGTTGTGATAATGGGTCTGAATTCATGTTTGAGCTGGTTCAACATTACCTTGCTTCACAAGGGATGTTACATCAAACCTCATGTGTGGACAAACCCAAACAAAATGGGGTGGCAGAAAGAAAACACCGTCATCTATTGGAGGTGGCACGGGCATTAATGTTTCAAGCCTCCCTTTCCATTGTTTTTTGGGGAGAATGTCTACTCATTGTAGCCTATATCATAAACTTACTACCCACCCCACTACTATCCAATGTCTCTCCATGTGAAGCCTTGTTTCACAAATCCTCATTCTACCATCACCTATGGATTTTTTATTGCCTCTATTATGCCCAATTACGACCATGTCCACATGACAAATTTGCCCCTCGAGCCCATCCTTGTGTCTTTGTTGGCTACCCACATGGTCAATGTGGTTACAAAGTTTACAACCTAGAAACTCATAAAATCTTCCCCATAGTAGATGTCATTTTTTATGAGAATCATTTCTCATTCAAGAATGAGCCATTACTTACTCAACTCAACACATTAGTCATTCCTCTGCCACCCCTAGACGATTTTGTCTTTTACTTTACCTTTTTGAAATTCACAAGACTTTGTTTGTTTGCAGTGTAAACTGAACTGGATACAAATTTTGCACTTCATCTTAGTTTTGTATTCATTTATTTGTAACTATGATTTGTACAAAATATGTACTTTTATCTTATTTGCAATCTTTGGTAGTGCAAATTTGCATTTTTGAAACTGATGCAAAATTTGCACCACCTTTTTCCTACTTCAATTCTCTCACATGTAAAGCGAGAAGCACACCATCTTGCTTTTCTGCCTCACTCCTAAAAAAATAACCTACGTCCATTCTCTTTCATATAATGTGAGGACTACATTTTATACCCTACTTACAAGCAAACAAGGCAAGGTCAAATTTGAAGCAAAACCAAACCAGAATTTACACAGCCTCTTTGCACTCCCTTGCATTTTCGTTAGTGCAAATGATATTCATGCTGCAAATAAAATGAGCCTAAGTCACTTGAAAAGTAGACAGAATGGACACCTCAATTGCTTAACGGCTTAACGCTACCCATCTATTTTCTGAAATGGTTCCATCCTTTTATATTTCCAGCTGTCTCTCAATATGGTTGCCACATGGCTATATGTCATACTTTGGTTCCATACTTTTTTATTCCCAGAGGCCCTAACTATGATTTGCACTTTGTCTTAAAAAAGAAAAGGAAAAAAAAGAGAAAAAACTATAATTTGCATTCATACTTGATACAAAATTTGCAACACCTTATACAGTTATACCTCAATTTTCTCATATCAAATGGGAACCAAAGTATCTTGCTTCCTATCTCACTTTCAAACAAATAATTCTCTTACCTTCATTCTATTTCATCATGGAATGTGGCACTGCAAACAACGGAACCTTAGAAATTTGAAATATTCTTATATTCCAAAGTTTGACGTGGAGTGGAATAAACCAGTATATTGTGGTGTATGAAGTTGACGTGGATCACTATTGATGTAGACCAATATAATCTGGATGGTCTGGATTGGCCACCTCATCCAATCCTTTGCTAAAATGGGGGAAATGTGACAAAAGGATCAGGACATAAAGATTCCCCCTTTTTGGATGAAGTTGTATATGAGGAGCGGGAGGTTATTTATTTTGATCCCACAGTGCATAGAAAATTGTCAATGACTGCCTCATGGAAAGGTGTGAACCTGCACTGCCCAAACTTTTGGAGGCTTTTCGGTTGAGCTTGTATGGAGTTCGCTATCATTTTTCTAAAAAGTATGAATATTCACAATTTAATGAACAAGATCAATTTTCATGACCACCGAAATATGTAAATACTATGGGAGCGTTCTTTTTTAGATTTTGAGAGGGGGAAAAGTTGGTCAATGGGATTTTGATTACTATTGACTAAGAAATCCATGTTCTTTCTTCAGATTTATGTGGGGATCAGAGAAAGTTTATTTTTCTGAGTATCACTGACCTGAGTAAGCGATACCCATCTCYTAGGTGAGTAAATAACTTACCGGGAGAAAAGTTTTCAACACTTGAATAGGACAAAAATGCCCCTTTTTAAAAATGGATTTTTATGGTTAAAATGGTCATTTTATTTTTTTATTTGGAAAATAAAAGAACATGGGTGAACACACTTACTTGGATAAGTATTTGAAAAAACCTACCCAAGTAATTGCATTTAGCCGGGCAAGTGACTTACCAAAAAACGAACAGGGCCTAAGAGTTAGGGATAGTAGAAGGGACGATTGATCGGTGTTAAAGAAAATGCCCATGTTACATTCAGTTTCTTAATTGAATTCGGTAGTGAGTGAGCTTAAATAGTTCCATATTTAATTTTTTTTAATTTAAAAATACAAAAATTCTAAAAAGCAATATGAAGAATCTCATATGGACAACTCACAACTATATTTTAGAATATAGTATAGATTAACAATTTTCTCTATTAATATCCATCCTAGCAAACATATTTTTAAATCATAAATTAAAAAATTAAAAAAAAAAGAGTATCAAGTTATCCACACCCATGACATTAATTTTTTTTGGTATTGTGCATGTCCATATTTGAACCTTGTCATGAGTTTTCAGAAGACAAGGCTCTTTTTTTATTTGTTCAGCCCAATATTTTGCAGAAAGATACATTAGGAGGGGTTCTGATGTTTAAACATATAGAAATGACGAGGCACTTGATTTTATTCAATGACGCCAACTGCATAGAGGAACCTCACAAGATTAGATTGATTAGAAGCAAGTTTTCAAATTTTGAAAATTTCAGCCATTCAAATTAAGAGAGCTGAAACGAAACTTTTAAAATTCCAAAATTTTGAAAGAAAACCTTTTAATTAATTTTAATTATTTTATTTTATATTTAATACTAGTCTGTTATGATTTATGATTATGTTCTTAAATTTAATAATAAATCCAATTTTTCATATAAAAAATAAGTGGTCAATTAGCTAAACTTTCAAGTTTTCAAAAATTTTGTAAACATACACCAAAAAATTTCTCTTTTTTTCAACCTTCTACATATCTCTTGAAGGGGTAATCTCCACAAAGATCACAAGAAATTTAAACAGGGACCGCAAATTGGATTCCCATTAACATATACTATGCATATGCGCAACTAAGAATTAACCATATATTATATTTGGATTTCACTTTTATGATATGCATAAATCCAACGCAAGTATCCACTTTGGGTCAGTTTTTTTTTTTTTTGAGAAGGAAAAAGTTAGTCAATGAGATTTTAATTATCATTGATGAAGAAATTTATGTTCTTTTTTCAGATCTATATAGGATCTACGAAAAAGTTATTTTTTCAAATGAATAATTAACTTGTATGAGATAAAATTATCCTTCTAATAATGATTTTTATGATTAAAACAATCATTATCTTATATATTTAAAAAATAAAAAACATGAACTTACCAAAAAATCACGAGACACTGAAATTTGAAAATAGGTAAGAAATAAGAAGACCACCGAAAGGACAAGTAGGTACTAACATTGTAATAAGACAGGCAAAGGAAAATTTAATAAAACGAAAAATAGAGTAAGCAACGGATATGCTTCTATTTTTGGCTTAAAAACTATATATGCTTCTACTTTGGTCAAAGGTCAAATCATTAGCGTAGATATTAAGTCGGTCATGCTCATTCTATGCTAAATAGACGAATCAAGAATATGACCGAAAAAAAAAAAAACTATATGCAAGGCTCCAGA